GAAACAATTCCCATCTTGCCGGCAATAAACTTGTCTAGTTGTTTCTTAGAAATGTTTTATGGGACTCTCTAAAGAGAATTTTTTTTTTACTTTATGCAGAGATGGGCTAAAAATGCGTACATTTTAAAATTTTCACGTGTAAATATAAGCAACAGAGTTTAGGAAACAGTCCGTTATTTTTTTATTTTTCACGTAAAATGTGATAAATACGACAAGTACTGTTTCATTGCAATAAACGTTTTTACACACATACACGCACACGCACATATACACACATAAACACACACACGCACACACTCTCACACACCAACGCGCACACACTCTCATACGCACATATATATGATGTGTCCAAGAACAGGATAGCCTTATAACAACTTACCAAGACAATCTTTACTCAGAGTAAGACATACATTTATTTGTACACAGCGTATACATGTAAAATACATTATTCATCAGTTCCACTCAAATATAGATTATACAGACACAACACAACACACACACACACAAACCTGGTCAGATGCACATAGTCTTGACTCCCAGTAGAAGTCTCATGTCTGTTTAAACTTGCCCATTGTGTTGATGGTTTAAAGTGTACCTGATCTTTAATCTTATATTTTCACGTGCAGTGGTCAGTGGCAATAATTAAACGATAATCCTCTCTGTGACTGCAGCCTGCCACCTCGTCGCGCAACTTCGCCGTGTTAAGTTTTTTTTTCTTCGATACTCAACTCGAAAGTTACGTGTCAGAAAAAAAACAACCCATTACGATTAGCAGCCCAGTGGTCTTGGCAATCCACAAACTGTTTTAGCGTTGACAATACACAAACTGTTTTAGCGTTAACAATACACAAACTGTTTTAGCGTTGTGCCCTGCTTTGATGGGTCAATGTGCATTGACTAGTCCCTGGACAATTGAAGTCACCCTCAAAACTTTTCTTCTTATTTTTTCAGGCCTAAACTTCTGTGTTTACTTTCAATTTTCGTTTCCTGTGAATATACCTGTCTAGTGGGTTTGTGATTTATGTAGAAAATAACCACTTGTGTTATGTAAATTTGACCTAGGACGTCACTTCCGGTGCCCGCCACTCAAGCTTTTGATGTTTATGAAGCCTAACTGTCCGCCATTAATGTGTTTGGTTTTCAAATGCTTCAGCCTCTTAAGAGCGGCTCCAGCTAGATTTAAATAGATGAAGGGACGGACGTTCGTTCAGCAGGGGATGGGTGTCTGGATTGTTGGGTTGTTGGGTGTCTGGGTTGTTGGGTGTCTGGGTTGTTGGGTTGTTGGGTGTCTGGGTTGTTGGGTGTCTGGGTTGTTGGGTTGTTGGGTGTCTGGGTTGTAGGGTGTCTGGGCTGTTGGGTGTCTGGGTTGTTGGGTGTCTGGGTTGTTGGGTGTCTGGGTTGTTGGGTTGTTGGGTGTCTGGGTTGTTGGGTTGTTGGGTGTCTGGGTTGTTGGGTTGTTGGGTGTCTGGGTTGTTGGGTGTCTGGGCTGTTGGGTGTCTGGGTTGTTGGGTGCCTGGGTTGTTTGGTGTCTGGGCTGTTGGGTTGTTGGGTGTCTGGGTTGTTGGGTGTCTGGACTGTTGGGTGTCTGGACTGTTGGGTGTCTGGGTTGTTGGGTTGTTGGGTGTCTGGGTTGTTGGGTGTCTGGGCTGTTGGGTGTCTTGACTGTTGGGTGTCTGGGTTGTTGGGTGTCTGGGCTGTTGGGTTGTTGGGTGTCTGGGTTGTTGGGTTGTTGGGTTGTTGGGTGTCTGGGCTGTTGGGTGTCTGGGCTGTTGGGTTGTTGGGTGTCTGGGATGTTGGGTGTCTGGGTTGTTGGGTGTCTGGGTTGTTGGGTGTCTGGGATGTTGGGTGTCTGGGCTGTTGGGTGTCTGGGTTGTTGGGTGTCTGGGCTGTTGGGTGTCTGGGCTGTCGGGTGTCTGGGCTGTTGGGTTGTTGGGTGTCTGGGCTGTTGGGTTGTTGGGTGTCTGGGATGTTGGGTGTCTGGGCTGTTGGGTGTCTGAGCTGTTGGGTGTCTGAGCTGTTGGTTTTCTGGGCTGTTTGGGCTTTCAGGTTGTGCTCTCTGTTCGTTCAATTTGGTTGTGAGAGTCTACACACAGCCTTTTGATGTTCAGACTGGGATTTTGTGGACTCACTAGCATAAAATTTATTAAGATAATTGAGTTCAATCCAACATTTAGGATAATAAAATGTTTGTTTCTAGTTTTCAAGGACTCCGATATTTTTTAATTCAGGCTATCAAACGTTGTGAGAATACAATTTAATCAAATCACTCTGTTTTTTTTTCTCAAACACACTGCGTATATATATATATATATATATATATATATATATATATATATATATATATATATATATATATATATATATATATATATATATATATATATATATATATATATATATATATATGCAGAGAGAGAGAGAGAGAGAGAGAGAGAGAGAGAGAGAGAGAGAGAGAGAGAAGAAAGTGATTATAGAGATGAATCATTTAAACACAAGACAGACAGAACCCACACAATAAAAACAGATCTAAACAACAGACAGACAGATTTACACAACAGAAAAAAAAAACAATGCTCGTCAAATCGCACCCAGTGACCCTGGAGTTATCTTTACGACGGCGCCGAGGCCCAAACCAAACGAGTGCATTTATTACTGCTCTATTCTCTCGCGAGGCCTCATCACGTGTTCTATTATCTCGCGAGACTTCATCACGTGATTGTTGACAATGAAGCGCCGCCATTAGGAAGTCTGGCGAGCGGCGAGAAGTTTGGTGGAGCTCTAAGTGTGTCGGGTCCTCTAAGACACCTAGAGTCTATGTCTGCATTTTTTAGCTCCCCCCCCCCTTCTCCTGTCTCTGGCAAATTATTTGTAGCGCAAGCATTAAATAGTTTTAAAAGCTCTGAGCGACTGGTGACATGGGCACGTAGGGTGATAATAAATAAAATCAAAGCTACAGGTAGAGAAGAGCTTGGCTGGCTGGTGCGGGGCTTAGCATTCTAATGCGCTCGGTGCGTTTTTTATAGGGAGACACCAAAATCTGTGCTGCCGGTGTAGAGTTAATACACACGTGGGATATGGGAATAGAGAAGTCAAAACATAGCATTGACATGCTCAACACAAGTACACATGAGCGTCTGGTCTTCTCATGGTTTCTGTCAATGGTGATATTTTTGGGCCATTGTGATGTTCTGTGGCCATACTGATGTTCTCTGTCAATGCTGATGTTTTCTGTCATATGGTGATGTTCTCTATCACATCCTGATGTTCTCTGTCGCATGCTGATGTTCTATGTCACATGCTGATGTTCTCTGGCTATTGTGATGTTCTCTAGCCAGTGTGATGTTTTCTAGTCAGTGTGATGTTCTCTGGCCATGATTGGGTTGGAAAACATCCCTCCTGAGTCGTGGATCGTACACTGTTACTACAATAGAGCCGTTAACGTTTGGTTTGAGTGGTGTAAAAGGCTGAGGATACTGTTGGACTTCCCAGTAAAACGTATCTTCAATCAGAATAGCGGCCATTGATAAGTGGGATGACAAGAAGATTAGTCTAAAGGAAAGAATTGCAGGCATTGCTAATTACCGAGCTTTGAGAGGCAATGACCGTCATATTGCTATTAACACATCATGTTGCTAATATCCCAGCTTTTTGCTAAGCGCATATAATGTTGCTATTCACACCACATGTTGCTATTCACACAGCATGTTGCTATTTACACGACGTACTGCTTTTCATACAGAATTTTGCTATGTACAAAGCTTATTGCTATTTACGCGACCTATTGCTATTTACACAGCGTGTTGCTATTTACGCGACCTGTTGCTATTTACACAGCGTGTTGCTATTTGCGCGACCTGTTGCTATTTACACAGCGTGTTGCTATTCACAAAGTGTTTTTACATAACCTGCCCCCAATTTTCTCACAATGAAATGAGATTTCTTTTTTTCTCCCCATCCAATTTCTAGCTCTCTCACCAAATGGCATTAATAAATTAAATAACAAAAAATTCTGGGTCTGCACCTAATTAATCTAATGTGGAGTCTAGGCTTGAATGCGTGATGTCCTCACACTGTGCATGCACTAGACAGATCGACACCGGGGATGGCGACAAGAAGATTGAGGTGGGGGGGGGGGGGGGGGGAGAGAGAAATGGGGTGGGGGGATAAAGACGACCACGTTTTGTTTCCATGTTAGGCACTCTTTACTGTACTACATGGTTGAAGGGAGATTTTCTATGAGAGACATCGAGTACTCAGTTTTTTTTTTTTTTTTTTTTTTTTTTTTTTTTTTTTTTTTAATTTTTAAAAAAAAAAAAATTTTTATTATTTTTTTTTTTTGTGACGTTATTTTCATGCCTTACTCACTGGTCTTGACATATTTGCAGGAGAAACAATTTTCGATTTGTTGTAGGGGAAGTAATCGCTTTGTTTGGGAAGTAATTGATTTTTTTTTGGTAAGGGAGAGTTATATCGATTTGTGTGTGTGTGTAGAGTGCGGTTGTGGCTTTGTTGAGCAACAGTTGCAGGTGGCGCAATGCGAAAGAGACGTCATGCAGGTGCTAGAAGCTAGAAGACGTCACTTCAATGACGCATGTTAATACGTCTGGCAGATGTCAGTTATTTAAAAAAACAAAACTCAAGTGAAGGAAATGAACATATAATATCTGACGTCTCAATGTATTTGTTTAGCACGCGTGTATGTATGTATGTATGTCTGTATGTATGTGAATCTCTGACCTAGATTGCCATATTGGCATTGAACTGTTGTATATGGAACTTGGCCACACGACTCTGGCAAGGTTATTGTTGAGTAGATAAATATCACGTGATATTAACATACTGTCACGTACCGTGTAGTGAGATGTAGAACTAGAGATATACCCCATCATTTTTTTTCCCATTCCCATTGTCTAGCATATCGTGCATGCCATACGTTATATGTAACTGTCTACAAACTGTTCGCCATCTCCCACGTGACCTTTTGTTGTCATCTCTTGCAGGTGAGCTTCGCTGCTACTGTAATGAGTCGGGCTGCGTGTCCACCTCCTACATGTGCAAGTCCAGCGCCGGCCAGTGCTACACGGCGGTCGAGGTCCGGGGCGAGGTGACCCACCAGACCCACGGGTGCCTGGACCACCTCCCCGAGGAGCAGCAGGCCTCGTGCCGGGAGAGCGTTGACGTCATCAGCGCCTCGGGGAAAGGGCCGGTCACCCTGCCGCTGCTGCTCTGCTGCACCGACCACATGTGCAACTACATCCGGGACGACTTCGACGTCAGCATCATCCTGACGCCAAAGTACAACGGCACATTCCACAGAGGTAAGGCACACGTCACTTCCCGTTACTTTAAAGATAAACAACATGCACACCTGAAGCACTATACGCGACTAGTAGCCTTAAGTCTTTGTTAGAACTTAACGCACACCCGTACATAAATTATGTGATGTGTTGCTCAACGGTACGCACACATACACACAGTCGTGCACACTTACGTGTATATAGACACACACATACGTGTATACAGACACACACACACATTTACACACCGACACACACGCCAGCCAACGTAATATTCCTTGTGCGCGACATCCCCCCCCCCTCCCCCACCAGTCTTGGCGTGTAAATTATACGTCAGCTTTAGACTTGCCTTGCAATTTAACTCCATTCGTTTTCAAGTCCCTGACATTTTAATACTTTATTTTTTTTACTTCTAGCTGGTCCGGAGATCCCTCTTTAATACAGAGTGTCATCGGCGCTGAGCCCTCGCTAGAATATAGGGGCTCGTTTTTCTAGTGGCGCGCACCACATAACTTACCGTGCGCGTTACATTGCGCACTGGTGCAAGTCTACACACCTATCCGTTTACAACCGACTTGCTACAGTTTCAAAAGTTTTGAGTTTTACAACGTTAATTGGAAAAGCAGACAACGAGATTTTGTTTTTTTCTTGAAACAAATAAAACATTTTTTTTGTCCGTGGTAGAAATAAAATGTCCGACCTGACTAGTCCGACCATAGCGGTAAACAATTCTTAGAGCGGATTTTTTTTCCTTCGGTAGTCGTACATTTCCACGTCACAATAATTTTGTACTACGCGATTTATGACCAGCACGTAAACTGCAATCCTCGCTAAAGTCTGGAACTTTTTCTTCGAGCGTGTTAGTCTAAGGAAACTTTCTGAAGCGTACATCATACTTTCGGCCTAGTCCATACTTCGTGCCTCATGCATATGTCCACCCAGTTCTTCATATTAAATAGCTGCTATATAACTGAGGCTGAAAACCCATAAATAGAATATAAAGATAAAATTAATTACTAGTTATGACTAATTTACATTAGCTAGTCTATCTTTATATTAACGTTTATGGTAATTGTATTTTAAAAAATGGTATTATTTGATTTCGCTGTAAAACTGTATGTAAATAAAACGTATTTCTGTCTCCCTCTACCAAATGTCTAACGCTGTGCTAGCTTTAACTTAGAGTAGCTTCCCTTAGGAGGGAGGGATCGTTCTCCTGTCAGAAGTAATTTAGATCAAAAAGTTTTACCGTCAGATGCGCACAGGTAGTTAACACTCTACACTGGGACTTGATACTCAATCTTCCGTGTCTTTCTCACTACGTTCTCCCCTACCCACCCTCGTCCCTACCCCCTCCCGGTCCCTACCCCCCCTCCTCGTCCCTACCCCCCTCCCGGTCCCTACCCCAGCCCTGCTGAGTTTTGTCCCCATTCTTCCCAACGCTTCCGTCCTTAGTCATGCTGTTTTCTCAATCTGCGTGACGTCTTGCTTGTGTCACGGGGATGACATTTCGCCCAACAAAAGCCTGACATCTGCCGGACTCATTTGCTAGTGTCATTGAAATGACATGTCTTCTAACCCTTGACGTGAGCATGACATCTCTTTCCGCTTGTGTCATTGGAATCTTAACTTCTGGACACGCCCATGTAAATATTAGGACACACCCATGTAAACATAAGACACAATCGATGTTAACACCAATGGCACATAACCCATGTCAACATTACGGCACATAACCCATGCTAACACAAGGGCACATAACCCATGTTAACACCAGGGCACATAACTTATGTTAACACCAGGGCACATAACCCACGTTAACACAAGGGCACATAACCCATGTTAGCAAAAGGGCACATAACCCATGATAACACCAGGGCAGACAACCCATGTTAACACCAGGGCACATAACCCATGTTAACACCAGGGCACATAACCCATGTTAACACAAAGGCAGATAACCCATGTTAACACGAGGGCAGATAACCCATGTTAACACCAGGGCACATAACCAATGTTAACACAAGGGCAAATAACCCATGTTAACACAAGGGCAGATAACCCATGATAACACCAGGGCACATAACCCATGTTAACACAAGGGCAGATAACCCATTCCTTAAACCCATTTACGGGTCCCCCATGCTCCGTGTGTCAATGACAAAAAAGACGACAAAAAACAACACAAATAGCCCACACTAACCGTCTAATGTTCACGATTTGTGACGCACTGACTCCGACTCTCTGATCTCCGCTGGATGGAATGTAAATGAACCCGGGGAGTTAATCCACTGGATTATTGCCGTGAATATATAAGCATAAACGTGATGATAGTCATCATGCCTAGGTGGGCTTATTTTAACCCGAGCAGCGGCAAAGCTTTTAAACACAGTGTTGAGGGTGGAGGAAGGGAAGATTTGTGGGTTTGGTGGATGTGGCGGGTCCCTGGGTAGACCCCCACCGCCCGCCCGACCGCCCCTCTATTGATGGCATATTGTAATGGTAGCTCTGTCGTGTCTGTGGTTTCTACAGGTGGAGGTCAGCTCAAGATTTTTTGTGTGACATTGTCCTCAATGTTGGGGTGACTTAAAGTTGTCCTCAATGTTGGGGTGACTTAAAGTTGTCCTCATTTTGGGGTGACTTAAAGTTGTCCTCAATGTTGGGGTGACTTAAAGTTGTCCTCAATGTTGGGGTGACTTAAAGTTGTCCTCAATGTTGGGGTGACTTAAAGTTGTCCTCATTTTGGGGTGACTTAAAGTTGTCCTCATTTTGGGGTGACTTAAAGTTGTCCTCATTTTGGGGTGACTTAAAGTTGTCCTCAATGTTGGGGTGACTTAAAGTTGTCCTCATTTTGGGGTGACTTAAAGTTGTCCTCATTTTGGGGTGACTTAAAGTTGTCCTAAATGTTGGGGTGACTTAAAGTTGTCCTAAATGTTGGGGTGACTTAAAGTTGTCCTCATTTTTTGTGGTGACTTAAAGTTGTCCTAAATGTTGGGGTGACTTAAAGTTGTCCTCAATGGTGGGGTGACTTAAAGTTGTCCTCAATGTTGGGGTGACTTAAAGTTGTCCTAGTGTTTTGGGGTGACTTAAAGTTGTCCTAAATGTTGGGGTGACTTAAAGTTGTCCTAGTGTTTTGGTGTGACTTAAAGTTGTCCTAAATGTTGGGGTGACTTAAAGTTGTCCTAAATGTTGGGGTGACTTAAAGTTGTCCTAAATGTTGGGGTGACTTAAAGTTGTCCTGGTGTTTTGGGGTGACTTAAAGTTGTCCTGGTGTTATGGGGTGACTTAAAGTTGTCCTAGTGTTTTGGGGTGACTTAAAGTTGTCCTAAATGTTGGGGTGACTTAAAGTTGTCCTCAATGTTGGGGTGACTTAAAGTTGTCATCAATGTTGAGTTGACTTAAAGTTGTTCTCATTTTTGGGATGACTTAAAGTTGTTATAGTGTTTTGGTGACCGTATGCTATCTTCATTTTTTGGGTGACTTACAGCTGTCCTCATTTTAAGGGTGACTTGAAGCCAGAGTTTCTTCCAGGTATCTCTTCGAAAAAAATTCTACCGCCCCCCCCCCCCCCCCGAACGAAATGAAATTAATATAATATATATAGAAAATATATACTTTTAACAGTGTCCGCCCACCCGAGGAAAGTCTACCGCCCCCCCCCCCCCCGTAGAAACACTGCTTGAAGCTGCCTTCATATTTAGCGACAACACGCAACTTTAAGCTGTCCTAGTGTTCTAATGACTATTCTTCCTTGTATTTAGATGAAGATCTGATGCCGAGAGGAATATTTGATGTCGCATCTCACAAAATAGTTCTATGTCTCGTGTCATGTATTTATCCGTAACTCAATTTATGGTTTAACTATCTATGCTGATGCTCCGTGCCTTAAATTATCTTCGATACGTTTGAAAAAAATGGTAAAAAATAATGACACGATGAAACGACAGGCATATATAAATTAGAGTTCAAACTAATCTATATTTGCTCACGATATCAATTCAAAATAATAAATTTAAAGAGAAAATGGAAAATGATTTTGTTTAAAGTAGATCGGCTACGCAAAACGCTAATCTCTAAAAACAATTTCTGAAACGGTTCTTTACTTCCGGTGTAATCGAGCAAATAAACCGCCCCCAAACGAGTCAATCCTTTGACGTGTGTGTCTGCTCTTTGACCTCCCCTCTAGTGCCGGAAGCTGACATGCTTTGTCTCAACTGGTAATCACGTGACCCTAGGAGGAGCTGCTGGTGACGGCTGGATGACAAGGTCACGTCTTCCAGCGGTGCCTCTCAGTTCCGCCCCCTCCCCTCACCCATCCCCCCCCCCCCAGGGGACATAACTTCAATGTTGCTTGTTTCCCATCCAACAATAGCTACTATTCTTTTGTTCACATTTTTTTTTTCAAATCAGTCCCTGACGGTAGCACACGAGTTCTAGCCCCTGCTTCTCATTCACGCCTACATAGGGGGGCGTCGGGGCGCAATCAGTAGATAACACCCTGCCTGGGTCTATAGGAGCCAGACCTGGGTGTGACATGAGGGGGGAGAGGGGAGGGGAGAAAACTGATTCCCCTGCCCGATAACCAACGAGATGAAGTCGGATAAAATAAATTCACATTTTTTCCTCAACACGGTTTTTATTGCTTGTTTCTTTTGCTTGGAATTGAAATGCCTCCCCCTCCCCCCTTTCCCCTTGTTTTCACGTAACATTTTAGTTTCAAAATAGAATTTTTTAAAAACTTTTTAACTGTATACACGACACCTATGTTTTCTACACGTACGTATACTCTTTTCAAATACACACATACATGTATATTTTCATTTTTTTCCCAACAAACAATCTCGCTATGTTCTGTGTGCATGTATCTAAATTGAATTCCACCACACAAAAAAAAAAAAAAAAAAACAACAACAACAAAACACTTCATTTTTTTTTAAAAATTCAATGATTGAATTTTTTAGCTTTACGAATGCAACGAAAATTTTTATATAACGAAGCTTATCAGGGAAAAGTAAATAATC